AAGCTTTCAGAGCCTAATTAAACCACGCATTTGCTCTAATTACTTTGGCTGCAGAGAGCTAGGAAACAAAAGGAGCCAGCAGACCTGTTCTCTGTGTAGCAGTCAGACATTTGACCGTTGTTTTCTCCAGCAGAGGTTTTGAGTAGCACAAAAGTAAAAAGCTGAGTAGCACAGCCATCGTCTGCAAATGGTGGCTGCAGCCACAAATCATTCAGCAGCCCTTATTCCTGCACAGCATAGAAAGCATCATTCATGGAACATGGATAGCAATCATCGTTGCTAGCATCATTTTTGAATATCAAGAGTAGAACCGCATACATTTTGATCCACATAATTGGACATTACTTCAAAAAGAAGTACTTAAAGACTAAGTTACTCATTAGGCAAGGACAATAGTCCTTTTATACTGATTAATTTCCCTTTAGATTTTATTTTCTTGAATAACATCCATAATTACAGTAATGGTTTAATTTTTAAATTAAGTCAATCCACATTTTATTTATCCATTTTGCATTTAGAATGAATATCATATAGCTAAAGAAAGAAACAAATGAGTTTTTATGATCACAGTCTACTCAATTCAGTCAGACAAATGTTTTCATAAGACAGGATTCAAAGGAAATTCCTTTTAAAAGTAAACTCAATTAAATGCATATTTCTTCATTAGAGAAAACATATTTTAGAGGTAGAGGTACTATGAATGTTTATTTATCTTAATTTTTAAATATAAGTTACCAGCTGCAATGCTTGGGGCTTTTTTCTATCCTCAGCTAAACTGGCAAACAAAAAATTTTAGAAAGTGTAGGTTTTATTACTTCTTATCTGCTCTTTAAAAATACATTTTTCAGACTCTTTGCTCAGAGTCCAAATTTACGGGCACTATAACATGATGTGCAGAGCAACATTAGCTTTTGGAAATTTTTTCAAAAAAAATACATATATAAATTAAGGGGGAGAAGAACATTAAAATAACCATCTGGTGAGTTCAGGCATAAAGGTCTCTATGTTTCTCCTGAACCACTGAGATCTCTACCACCCCTCTATTTTGCCTATGGAAACCTGACCTAAACTAAACAACTATTCTATATCATTAAGTTGTCCAGGAAGATGAAAGTTTAAATATCTGTCAGACAACCTGTAGCATCTGGCCCAATTCAGCAATAATGATTTCTCCAAAGAGCATCAATATTGGGATAATTATGAAAACAAAAAGGGTTAACCTATGCAGAGAAAATAATTTTCTTCTAGTCAGACTTCATGTTTACCAGGACACACACTTGCCAGCTATTCTCTCATTGTCAAAAATACAAAAAGTGAAATTCCTCTATAAAAGATCTCACTCTCATTTTACTTTGTTGTACACTAATAATATACCTTTGGTATAAAGTGATCAGCCCTATGATCATTCAAAAAGAATTTCTACACATTTTTAAATACAATGATTAATCCTAGTCTTCTCCTCTTCAAAAGTAGAGAATGTCATAAAATATTAAGTGCAACACATAAAATTTAACTAGTTTAGATGCTCTCTTACAGTTTGCAGACAAAAAGGGAAAAATTCATATGCATATGAATTAAGATACAAGATATTTTAAAAAGAAAATTAGAAGTGGTCATGATGACATTTCTGTGTATCAATAGCTGTCTTTTAAGCTATGCTACAAGCTACACTGAGCCACATTTAAATATCTTTCAAAATAGAAAAGAATCAGATTTAAATGTGATTTTGAAAAATCAATACATGTGAAAGAACAACAAATACTACAGAGTTTCAATATCTTTATTATATAAACAAATCAGATAAGACAAACACTAAAACATTAATAAGGCAAAGAATATAAAAATACACTTCATAGAGGACAATATAATATCAGTAAGTGTACATAAAATGTTTTACTTTACTAGTAAATAAAAATGGTAGAATAACATTTCATTCATCTTATAAGTAATTTTTAAAAAATAAATAAGAATGCCCAGTGCTGCAATCGGTGTGATGGGGTAAACTGTTACAGGATTTTTGAAAAATACTGCACAAATATTCAATCTTTTTAACTCAGTAATTCTAGTCTTAGGTTTCCACACAAAAGGAATAATTTAAACATTTTAGAAAGCCATAGCTTTAAGATATTAATTGCAGCATTATTTATAATACTGAAAAAATTTGAAAATAAAACTTAAATGCCCCCAAAGCAAAGGGATGATTAAATAAATTCATGTACATAAGAACTGAGAAGATATTCTGAAATTACAATTGTGTAGGATATTATCCTGTATTTTAAATGATGTTTAGGCTGACACATGACAACATGAGGAAATGTTCTCATGTAATGTAAAGTGAAAAGAACTTGAAGCAAAATTATATACACTACAGTATAAGCCTACTGCTTTGTGCAAAACCTCTATCCATACAGAGGGAAACAAATGAGGATTTTTAAATCTCAAGCTGTATTCTCAAATTTTATTTCTTTTTTGAATATATTTGGAAATTTCCCATTATTAATCAAAGAATTTTCAAATTAATTGCCTTGCTTTCACATTTATATCTAAAGAAAATATTGTGCTTGTAAAGATAAAATATTATAATATCTACCTGAAAATACCCAATGGGGGCATTATAATTTTGGTGGTAATTGCAGGTAGTCTTGCACATATGTAACTAGGCAGCTTAAATATATAGTTAGCAATTCCAGACTAGCCACACTTACTCTGCCTCCAGCCCCTTTCAGAAACCACATTTGCTTCTAGCACCTGTGAATACTCTGTACTTACAAAACACTGTCATCAATGGAAATGGTAAGGATTGTTGCTAATATTTGGGGGACAATCAAAACTAATTTATCTTTCCCCCCAAGTCAGAGTATCAAAAAGGTGACATCTATTCAACTATCTTTGCTCTGTTTCTAACATAGACTAAATTAATAGAACAGAGGTGAGTCTTCTCATGATGTGTACATTGCCTTATTTATGGTTAGACTTTATAAATAATTTCCTCTGTAGACTCTAACAGGGTGAGGGCAAACTGACATTCCGGTTTTTTGTTTGTTTGTTTGTTTGTTTTGAAAGAGAAATGCCATATGTGCCCTCACCCCTTTTTGCAAATGTGACCATTCCTTGGAGACTTCAATGTTATTTCGACCCATTTCCACTGTTAAGAGCATGAAATCACAGGCAATGACAGGGACAGTCATGGTGGGGAGGAGAAGGGAAGGGGAGAGGGGAAGAGTGGATATGGAGGGGTAAACAGAGGAAAAGAGAGGACAGGGC